TAGACTTGCTCCGACTATCTACAATTTCTGTAACGCTGTCCAAATCTTCTACATCATATACTCTTGGCCTTCTCACAGTGCTTTTGAATAGTCGACAGATTCCAAGTTTTGGGGGATTAGTCCGGAGTGCTTGAATTTAAAACACCTATACTGCAGGATTGAATGCATGACTACTACCGAACATCTTCATTTGGATGGCTCAGCTCATATGCCACAACTGGATACTTCGATCGCCAAGCGGTTCAAGGTTTTTTGAGTTGCGTTGCAATCCAGCGAGGTGATGTCGCCGGACGAAGCCTTCTCTGCAAAGCGGAAAAGGTATAGGGCAAACGGTAGCGTTGCTGCTTGCCTTTGAAGACAGTCAAGGGAATATGCCCAACTAGGTATTACCATGATCCAAGAAAGTTGGTTCCACAATGAAATTGAAGATGATATAATACAACTGGATGGATTCTCTAGCTATCGTGTCGACCGTCCTGTTTCTTTTTCCAGACAGATTGGAGTCATCAAGTTTGTCAAAAATCAGTGATATTATCTGACCAAAAATATTTTTTTCTTATTCCACACGTTCTAGAAACGCATCGGTACTTCAACATGTAAGCCCAAACATTTCAGCTTTTCTTGGTCACTCATTCTTCTATATGTATATATATAGTCTCCTGTTATCTTCCCCGGTCTTTTTAACAAGGACCTAAAACTCATTTCCCGATCCCTCAAGTTTCTGTCGGTTTGTAGTCTCACCACGAGAACATCTGGCACGGTATATGGCGACACCACCTCAAGTTCTGTAAAGCATTCTCCAACAATATTTTATCTGATATTTCCCATCTCCTTTATTCTACCTTTAGTCAGTGCCTTTCTCACTCATCCACCCGTTCTACTCAAGCTTATAAAGACACGCACTAAAGCTCACAGGAGCTCTATTGCACCGTATCTCGCCAGATTTCTAACAAACCATGAACTAGTTGTAGGAAATCCGCGTAAAGTGCTAAACTAAATCAATCCTAAGCACCCGAGGTGTATAAAGCGATTCCTTGACTTGACTTGGATATGCCCTACATGACCGAAAGTTTTGGGGGCTCTTACACGAACCCGGAACCACGGTCAACAAGCGCATGAAAACAGATGGCTCAATCAATAGTAATAGGATCCATCGGGGTAAGGCTAAAAAAAAACTACATTCACTATCAGCTACTGTGATATAATCCTGTGCCTTATAATGATGTAAAAACTCCAATAGTAAGTTCAGTATGAGGAACAGTAGTTGAATGACAGAACAAAGAGAGAGACAGAGGTGAGGCTACATGTGTCAATATTGTATTTGCACACACACACGTTAACACAAAATGTGTCCAAAGGCATCTCTATTGAATTGAATATGGAGGAAGATACATCTGACAGGCTGAAAAGGATCATAGTATATGACGATTTATCAAGGATGGGAATTCAAAGAGGGGTATACGAAGTGGTGAAACGCACAGCGAGATTCAAGCTGCATCACAGATAGACCATCTTGGGAGAACGCAAACACGCGGGGGGGTGGGAGAAGTGAGATTGTCCGAGTTGCTGTTTTCGATCAGAATGTTTGTTTTCTCGGTGGTGTAAAAGACAGTGAGGGAGAGTGGGGAGTACCACGGAGATCTGCAAAAAGCCAATAGATCCCTGAAAAGGCTAGCAGGTAGCCCAGTGCAAAAGAATGGCACGAACACAGATGCATACAGGAGATGCGGTGAGGGAATGCAATTGTAGGTGAAACCGGAGTGGGGAGCCGAAAGACAAATTGGAATTTTAAAAAAAACGAATGCTGTGCGACGTACAGAAACAACACGACCGATGTACCGCTTCAATTGCGACAAATGGTAGAACGAATAGGGGCAAGAAGAAAATGCCGGTAAATCATGAACGGAATGTGAGAGCGATCGATCGATCGGCAGACGCTGCGTAGGATCTTCCGGTAGGTATCCGGAGAGTAATTACACCAGAAACTTACGATCTGTGGCTCTACAAGATCTGTGCGTGAGGTAAATGTGATTGTTCCATACATTTGGCTTTTTTCTCGCGTCGATTTCGTCTTCGAATTGCACTTTTGGACAGTTTTGGTTGACTTTGTACAGATAATGAGGATAAACTTGGTGCCTGTGACTGGTCGGTACTGTGTCCATTACAATTGCCGTACGACGATTGAAACTGTTTAGGGGAAGAAAAGAATGAAAAGCAACATAAATACCTACGGTAAAGACGTTTGAAAGCAATCCTTACTAAAGAATGACAGGGACAGAAAAGTGTCACCCCTGATTCGTCAATCCGTAGATTGCACATTTCTATAACTAGTCGACAGGTTGACATTGTGCATGCATTCCAAAGCCTCAGTATGGTCGGGTGTGGGTGACTCGGGCTGCTACTGGTCACCCCTCCCTTACACTTGGCGAAATGCTCGCATATGACGTAGCGTCTAACATAGACTTTGTTGAGGAAACCCTACTCACTATCTTCCTGTAGCGGTTTTCCCATCAAAGTTAGGGGACGAAAAGCCAGCATCCGGGGCTATAACCGAGTCGGTTAACCACTGGCATTTCACCTAAAGGAGTTCGCTACAAACCCTGATTCCAAACCAACCAAGAGGAGGCGTAGTGGTTTAGGCGCTGTCACAAGCGTGCTTTGGACCCTATGGTCCGAGGTTCGAGCCCCGCCACCGCCACCCGACTTTGGTGGTAGGCAGCTCTGTTGTCGTGCGATTCAATATCACGCCTAAACTATCGGGGCCTTATGCGGTTCACCACTCCAAGTACCGGGGCTTGGGTTACCGATTTCAACCACTGAACAACAGGTCCTCGTGACTATGGGGTCCGCCCCGTCTGCTGTTCATCATCAGGTGTGTAGTAAAAAAAACACTTGACTTGACCTCTCCGGTTGTGGCAATGATTACCGAATCGATTGGGCATCGAAGTGTGTTAGGCAACTTGAACGTTGGACCGCGTCCAGAGGGTGAATGATCCGATGAACTGGACACGGGCCCCCAATGGAGGGCGGACCCAGTACCACCCTGCCGTTTTGCAGGTCTGGCTTTCTAGCCAAAGGCTTCGGGTGGGGCCCCCGAGGTTATCTCCTTTGCTCAGTTAGGGCGACCGGGAAGCGACATGCCCATACAATCTTTGAACACATTCTACAGATTTTTCTGCACATGCAGTGGCACGTTTTCCAATTCCATACCATTCGTTACACATTACAGGGTACGGACGTGAAAACAACAGAAAATGGTGGGATCGGAGTATAGAAAAAAGCGATATGGAAAACAATAATGGCGGATTAAGAGAACAGGAATAACAGGGTTTATGTTGTGTTTCACCGTACACATCTGGATCATTTTGTGCCAGCTCATCTCGAGATACAGGACATCCGGACCAGAAGTCTCAGCATCCACAATCAACAACAATCCTCATCCTTTGGGTGCCAACCTGGAAGGCGGGCTGCACCGATCAAAGCTTATGCAAAATGGTAAGTTCATTCTATCGCCTAGGCGATCGCGGTGGCCCATTGGAGCAAGTGGTCGACCTCCACAGATTGCGTTGGTTGGGGCATCTCTCACACATGTACCGAAATAGGTTGCCACGGCGAGCGATGTTTGCCGAGGCAGGTAGTGGGTGGAATAAAGCAAAGGGTGGTCAAGCTGAGACCTGGTATGAGGGTATGAAAATCCAAACCAGGAGACTGGGTCCCATAGGCCCCGTTAGGCTCCCTGGTTGGGGACCTCGGGATGATGGTCGCCAATGGTTAGACACTGAGTGATATGGCTGGGTGTCGTAAACAGTGGCGTTCGTGCATCTTCTCAATTTCTTTGCATCATTAGTCTGCTGAACTTCTCAATTTTCTCTTCGATCCTACTTTCAACCTTCCTGTTTTCCTCCTATTGTTCATCCAAAATGGGCAGCCAAAAGCGACGCGCGGAAGTGCATGCCTAATGACTGTTTAAACTGAAATGGTTGATCAATAATGCCAGTCGCAGATAAGAAACTCCTTTCCCATCAACCCAAAACAGTGTCAGTGATGAGAATGATAAGTGGCAAACCTAGAGAGACTTGAAGACACTGCATTACTACAGTGGTTTGTATAATTTTTCCAGACATACGCACTAGTGGAATAGCAGACAAAAATGATGGTACTTTGACAGACCGACTCACTGTCAGATGACCAATCAGACAAAAATGTAGAATCGTTCAGATCGCGGGCAATGGTTTGGGAAGATAGATTTATAAATTTATCAGGCAATACCTTGGAGACTTCGAAAAACGTGGAAGACGAGACTAAGGACAAAAGAGATGGACTCACCTCTGGAAGAACACTTTGAGAAGTAGATTTTAATTTCGTCGGAAGGAGGAACATCGGCTGGTTCGATGTCACAGACTCCACACTCAAAGCTGAAAATGGAATGAAAGGGAACAAATGGAACAGTGATCAGTGCCCGTGGTAAAAGCAACGGAAGTGCGTTGAAACGGTCCGGGAAGCAACTGAGAGTTCAAAGTTCGGATTGCTGACTGTTCCAAACGCAAGGCAATCCGGTCCAGGGGGAGCGGTACATATTCTACTGTGCACCGGGTAGAAATTTGGGAGAAAAGACGATAGCTACGTATCTTGCAGTCGAAACAAAGCAAACGTGGTATAACTCAGTTTTACTTTACACGCTAGCACAAGAAATAGAAATGACGGTTGTATTTAGCCGACACACAATAATGACTGCATTCGTTCAAAGACCATAGCATCGAGTAACAGTGATGGTCAATCACTCGCCTCAGTAATCGTTATAAGTTGAATATTTTACGCCGAAAAAGAAAGTTGGGTGTTTACAGAGATCCAATGAAGGGTATTCGCCGTATAGAGACTTACAAAACTATGA